GGATATCCGTGAATACATTGATTTGCCTGTGTAAAGGCCTGGTCTTTAGGAAATAAATCACTTGCCAGCCTAATCAGGATCTTATAAAAAGGAAAGCCAAGATCCATGATTGATTACAACAAATTAGAGTTATTTCTTACGGCTGCAGATGAATACTCCTCCTAACCAGCACAGTGAGATGCTCTGGTAGCGCGGTGTTCAGCTCTCAGGGGGAAGGTATAGAGCAGCTTTCTCACTTGGTGCCGTCGTTGGTGGGCGATGTCTTGCCACACAGGATAGACGCCAGGGCACGGACGGTGGATAGGGCGTGGAGGAAGTGGCGATCACGTGGCAGCCGCGGCAGTAGCTGGAGTAGGTAACAGGAGTTGACAGCCGAAAAGTGAAGGACTGGGGAATTAGCCCACGAGCCCCAGGAACCTCAGATGAGTACACAACCAAAGTTGAAATCGAACAGCGGGGGAAGTGCAGCTGTGGTACCGACTGGATAGTGTCTGGTGTGTGACGAGGCTGCAGCGACCTTCTCACCTCCTTCTACCCCTCCTTAGTGGGGCTGCGAACAAGCAAACGAAAGGCGTACAACCATCCCGCTCGTTACAAACCTTACACAGCTTCCCTAACCAAAATCTACTGTAAGATAGATTAAAGCTTAAGATTAGTACCAATAAATCATATAACAATCCTACAACAAATAGTTAAATATACAGAGCAAAATAAAAATAGAGAAAGGTCATATTAAAAAAGTGGTAACATGATATTCAAATATCATAAGGCCGTTTCAAGAAACTGCACGTGGGATCCACTTCAGTCCAGGTTTAAGTTTGGGCCCATTGCCAGTTGTAGAGGATTCATCTATACCATCTGGTGTTACCGGTAACTGGCAACCGAGATCTTCCGAGTCTGGAGCCTGAACTTCAAACGACTCCAGCTTGGGAACGTCGTCAAGGACCCGAGCAAAGTTAATGTGGGCCCTATAATGATATTTCTTTAACAAATTAGCTTGATATAATTTAGGCTTCTTAGAGGAAGGGGATGAGAGTGGTCCAACAAGATCTATGGCTACCCGAGAAAATAGCTCTGTAATGATGGGTAAAGGTTTAAGAGGAACAGGACAGACTCTACCCTTGGCGGACATCTGCTGGCACCGATCACAGCTCCTACAAAAAGCTGTAATATCCGCTCTCATACCTGGCCAGTAAAATTTATCAGCAACCTTCATATAGTCTTCCTATGAGAACAGAGTCCTACTAAAAACCCAATAAACGTTTACATGTTCCAACTCCATTAACTCATCAAGAATCAACGGTTAAGGGCCAGAACACGCAAGGACAAGACGAACAAATCATTACATTACGTGAAAACTCTGCATGATGATTTCCAAGCAAGGACAACAGTGAAGCAAATGTTTAGTGGAAGAGCAGCCAAAGTAGACAAAGGTTTACTTGCATCCAATGAGATTTTTAAATTAATTCCAAAAGATGGCATGCCACATAACATTGGTGACTCTGATTTTACCAACAATGTCTGTTGTGATTTCAACTGTCATGAATCAGAGTGCACTTGAAATTACTAAGGCCATTCCTTTGAGCAACTCATCAGTATCTAGGCGCATTGATGAATTGGCAGATGTGGAAAATAACTTGTTGCACAATTGCAAGTGAAGAAGTTTCCCGTGCAAATCGATGAATCTACTCTACGGGATAGCGAAGCTCTTTTGATGACATATGTTAGGTTTTGGGCTGATGATCAGCTCTGTGAATAAATTTTCTTTGTCCAAAAACTTAAGACAGACACCAAAGGTGAATTTTTTTTCAGAAGTTGAGATTTATTTTAAGAAAAATATAATGGCTTGTGCAACTGATGGAGCTGCTTCTGTGGTAGATAGATATCAAGGACTCATTGCTCATTTAAAAAATGCTGTGCCTGAAGTTTTTTGCATACACTGCGTGGTCTACCGTGAACATTTGGTTGCATAAAAATTGGGAGGGCGTCTGCATAATGCCCTTGACATTGTGATAAAGGCTGTCAACTTTATCGAATCAAATGCACTTCAAGATCGTCTTTACCGACGACTTTGTGAGGAACTGAAGAAGAGTTTGAGCCCCAACTGATGCATACCAAGGTCCGATGGCTATTGAAGGGTAATTGTCGCTTTGTTGCACTTTGGGACAGTATTGTGTCATTTCTGAGTAGCAAGCAGCTTGGAGAATAGATCGATGCTGCCAAGTGTGATATATTTTACCTATCAGACGCATTTGAAAAGCTGAATTTGTTGAACAATCAGTTACAAGGACAAAGCTGTAATCTCATATCTTGCAAAGAGGTCATTACTGCTTTCCTTCGGAAACTCAAGATGTACTGGATTAATATCGGACGTCGTGAGTTAATGCAGTTTCCGTCACTGACCACTGTGGACATCGAACTGAAAGTTGATGATCTTTCTGTGTATGTTGAGCATTTGAAACATTTGTACAGTGATATGCAAGTTCGGTTCAGCGACCTGCTAGAGATGAACATTCCAGGTTGGGTGGTGGACCCATTTAGGGTAAATGCAGTTGATGTTGACATTACAGTACAAGAAAGTCTCATTGAGCTACAAAGTGATATAACAGCTCAACCTAGATTCAAACATGGCACACCTAATTTATGGATAAGCAGTGAAATGGTTAGGAAGCTTCCTCTGCTCCGGGACAAAGCTAAATTGTATTGTATTGCTTTTCCCGCTTCTTATCTTGTTGAATGTGGGTTTAGTCGGGTGGCTTATCTGCTATCAAAAGCTCGTAACCGCCTTGATATTGTGGGGAGAGGTGATTCTCGTTTGTCACTCACAATGATGCAGCCAGATATTGAGAAACTGGCAAGTTTGCATCAGCCACAAGGGTCACACTGAATAAAGTACCTACCAATTGGAATATTTTTGGGGGTTAGTAGGCCTTATGCTGCTAGTATGATTTTACATTTTATGTCTTTATGGAAATTTTTTTGCTTGTACACAATTATGTCTATAGAATTGATCGTTTTTGTTAGGTACTACTGTTACGAGTTGGGGATTTAGAATATAGTTAAAAGTCTACCCAGATCCCAAAAGGCAACAACAATAAAAGAACAAAGACAATCGGACTATAAAAGGGTAGACAAAGGATGAGAGTTTTTGGTGTGTATAATAAAGTACCATAAATTCCTTAACAAAATATTCAGCTTTCTATAATTTACCCTTAACCATACTTAACCTAAACATTAACAGTATATACATATTTATACAACATGCAACAATTTTGAAGCAAGTGGACGTGGGAAGGCAATATAGGATAACAAATACTTAAGTGCGGAGCTGAGATGGCTGACGAGTAAGGCTGAGTATTGAAGGAGATGGTAGGTAGTCACTGTGCCTTAGGTTTCCAGGATAGGTGATCCTAGTGTGGTCACTTCCCAGAGTGAACTGAACTCTCCTCGAACTGGAGCTGATGAGGAAGACTTGGAGGAGGTGACGCAACAACCAGGATAAGGAGAAGGGAAACCCCGGAGTGGTAACTAAGACTAGTCATACTCGGGTTTCGTCCCTAGATGGTGTTGCTCGTGGTGCTGGGTAGGTAGATCATGACAATAGATGGCGTGGTTCGTAGTGCTGGGTAGGTAGAGCATGACAATTGATGGCGTGGATCGTAACACTTTGTCTTTATAATTCTATATGATACA